TGCACAAATATTGTTATATGAGTTAATCTATGTTCCTAATTAAATTTTCAAAAATTCCTTGAACAAATACAGAGAAATTATTTTGATGCAAAAGCCTCCTCTTGGAGATACCAATGCGAAGTAGAACATTCATTGAAACACCTAAAATACCTATGGTAACAAACATAATTCATTCTCTTCAAACTTTCATAAGTAATTTTCCATCCTAGGTCGTTTTATCCTCCTTTAGGCAACCCGGTGGCCCCCCACTCCCAGGAGGTCACCGTGTTGATGCTGGGGTTAGTGTGGACACGTGATCGGCATCACAGACTACAGCCCTGAACCCCTGGACTCATGTGATCTTCCTGACTCAGCCTCCCAAAGAGCTGGGACTACAGGTGCATGCCACCACACCTAGCATTTACAGATAATTGTAATGCTCATACCTTTTGTTTTTGGGGGAACAGGGCTAACACCTATCAACAGCCCTAGGAAATAGTGTCCTGTGAAAATAAATTGGGAAGCACTGATCTAGAATAATGTTATGCTTTCTGTGACTTCTAGTATTGGGAAAATAAGTAAATACAGTCACTTTTGCTATTTACGGGGGCTTGGTTCTAGGACCTCCCTCAGATGGGATACCAAAACCCACAGATGCTCAAGTCCCTCATATAAAGTGTCATTGTGCTTGAGTATAACCTATGTGCATCCTCTGTGTATACTTGAAATCATCTCTAGATTACTTATAATGCCTAATGCAATGTATAATGCTATGTGCATAGTTGTTATATTTTATTATTTAGGACATAACAACAAGAAAAATGTCCATGTTCACTATAGATGCATTTTTAAATATATTTTTGATGTGAAAGTAGTTGAATCCACAGAAACAGATCTACAGATACAGAGGGCTGACTGTGTATTGATGATAATGGGATGTAAGTTTTAACCGTCAAAGAAAAGTGTCTCATCTACAGAAAGGGAAGGACTAGAATGAACTTCACTGTGTTAGATTTGTTGTCAGTGTTAACTCATGTTTTCTAACATATATGTAGATAACATAAAAATAGATATCACCATGTGGGCATGTTCCTGTGTGTGTTTGTGGCTCTGTCCATCTGAGAAGGCCCAGAACAAGGTTCCTCATCCTCTGCACTATTGACGTTGGGGCCTGAGAATTCCCTGTTTGGGGAGACGTCCTGTGCATTGCAGGACGGTTATCAAATCCCTGACCTCTACCTGTGAAATGCCAGTAGCACCTGTCTCCCAAGTTGTGACACCCAAAGATGTCCCCAGACATTACCAAATGCCCGTGGGAGGCAAAGTTGCCCAGGTGAGCACCAGAGCCCTAGGTGCAGTGGCAGCCCAGCAGCAGTGAGCACACACAGCGCTCAGGTGTTGCTCTCTAAGCTCACAGTTCCAGCCACTGGCTCTAGGGTTGGATCAAGGGAAGTGAAACATAAATCTGCAACTTGTTACATCAGAAAGTAAAGATAGGCTCAAATAACGATGGAAACATGTAAATAGGACACAGGAAGCTGGTTAAAGGGGCTCCCACTGGTTAACTCTGAGACAATTTAAACACTGGAATAAATAATGGTAACAGATTATAACTCCTTGAATAAAATAATAAATTGTGAATCAGACAGAAATATGGAGAGAGTGAGATGATAGATTAGATAGATAGATATAGATATAGATATAGATAGAAGTTAGAGGAGAAGAGAGAGGGCTTCTTCACAGAAAAATGAACGCATTAATAAATACAGAAGAAAGGATGAAGTTAGAAACAACAGTCATAATGACAACTGATTCAGGTGAGAATTATCACTGTATGCTAAAGCCAGACAGTGAAAGTTTGATAAGATGTAGGATATATATATATATATATATATATATATATATATGTTTTCAAAGTATTGCTGCATGAAACACTTACTAATGATAAAAAAAGAAGGAACTTTGCAGTGGAGAAAGCTGGCAGACACCATCTGATCCTGGACAACAGCATCTATCAGCAGCGGGACAAAGGGACAGTGAGGACTCCTGGCATGAGGCACTGAGGGACAACATCGCTCTGTAACGTTCCTGCCAAATCTATGTAGCCCGAACCTAATCCATTGACCCACCCTAACTGGGGACATTCTACGAAATGATTGGCCTGCTGTCTTCCAAAATGACAACATCACAAAGACAAGAAAGACCGAGGAACTGTTTTAGATTAAGGGAGACTAGCGAAGCCTGAGGACCAAACGCTGCTGACAAGTTCTGTGGCTCTGGATGGGACAAGAGGACGCATCCACGCTGGTGCCGTTAATCGCTCAGAGTGCTGAGTCTGTGCAAGAGATCGTCCTTGCCCTTGGGACACACACGAGAGTGTCTAAGGATAAAAGAATCCCGTCTGCAGTTTGCTCCCAGATGGTGCAGAAAGACCGACAGCAGCGCACACACACGGACAGAGAAGGACGGAGCCGCTGAGGCCACGGGCTCACAACCGGGGAATCTGGGTGTGCGAAGGAGCTTTCTACATCACTTTTGCCGCTTGTTGTAAGTTTGAAGATATGTCACAAAGAAAGTCACAAAAAAATTAAATGCAGAGCACAGCTCTGCCTCACCACTGAGCCCCCCGCCCCACATGCACAGATGGGTCGGGCCAGGCGGCTGCGACACCACAGGAACACAGCTCGTGTCCGCCCGGCCGGCATGGGACGCTGGAGGAGAGGGCCAGGTCATCTCACCATGCAGCTTCAGGACAGCAAATCACTCAGGGTAAGTGTCCCCAGCTTCACACCCTGTCTTGTCTCCTTGGAGCGGATGACAAGGTGTGGGGAGGCACAAGCTGTGACAGTCGAGATGATGGCAGGCAGACAGCTGAGGAAGGAAGGCTCTTGTGCACTTCTGGGCAGTGTCACGTCACGAGGGACCTCTAGGTCCCCACTACTTACCCTGCCTGCACCTGGCCTGCGCCTCTGAGGCTGCAGGATGCATGAGGGAGAGCAGGGACACTCATCAGTAGCACGGCTCCCGCCTGCCAGATTCCTGCTGTCCATCCCTGCTCATCGCCAAACCCCAGGATCACAGCAGGGCTGGGCTCGCACTGCCCAGCCAGTGCTCCCACCACGCCCAGGGGAGTCCTTCTGGCTGCCCTTCAAGCCGGTGTTTCTGGCAAAGCCTGCCGCCTTCAGCCTTCACCACAGGGCACTGCCACAGGGTCACCTTCAGGCTTGGAGGGTGGGGTTGAGGGAACAAAAGAGGCAGGTCTCTGCTCAGAACACCCGTCCACCCTCTCTACTCCTGGGGCCATATTTAAACCCAAGGCTGCACCACCCTGAGCTGGGGGCTCTGTTAGCCCACAGGGTGTCCAGCTGACCAGGTGCTCTCAGTCTGGGGAGAAAGGACCAGAAAACATGTTCATGAAACCACTGGGGGACGCACAAAAGCCACGCTGAGCAACGGAGGCCAGACCCACCTACGCTCACACTGCATATTCCACTCATGGGAGTCCAGGGACAGGCAAAAAAACAAGTGTACAGGGCAGGATGGGTGGGTTGCCAGGGCCAGGGTGGGCATGAGGGTCAACTGCAGGGACAGGAGGACACTGCCTGGGGCAATGCACATGTTCTAGGTCTTGGCAGAGTAGTGACACTGGTGTATGCATTTACTAAAACTCCTCCATCTGGGCATGTAAATGAGGCATTTTATTTTTGTGAATTATACCTCATTAAAGGTGATTTTTTAAAAAATCAGGTGAATTTCCCAAGCAGTGCACAGAGGAACAGAGCTGGCACCCTGGCTCCCAGAGGGGAGAAAGGAGACTGCCCGTGTGCTCTGACAGCCATTGCTGGGCAGTGGGTTCCCTCGCTACCCGATACAGCCTGCTGGGGGTCTCCCTGTACCCTTCCAGTCCAGCCCCCTCCCAAAGTGTACTGTGAGGTTCCAGGACACACTCCCCCTTCCAGAAGAGGTACACTCAGCCCCACCTCAGGGCCTTTGCACTGGCTGTGCCCACTGCCTGGAGCTCTGATTTCCTGGTCCAGGCAGGACTCTTGTCCATTCAGGACTCATAGAGACTTCCCTGACTGACCAGTGTCCAGTGGCACCAACTCTCTCTGTCCGCCTTCTATTTCACTTCCAACAGAGCATCTGTAACTCCCTGAACTTAATTATTACTCACTATCCCCCAACCCCCTACCCCACACCCCAAAGTTGGGCTGAGCAATACCACAACCACCAGAAACATGTAGTCGTGGGGTGCTTGAAATGGGGCCAGTCCAAATTGACACATGCTCTAAGTGTAAAAACTAAAAATGAAATTAAAAGACATAGTGCAGGCACCCAGAAGAATATAAATTATCTTATCAGCAATTGTTCCTGTAATTTGAAATAATATTTTGGATATCTTTGGTTAAATAAAAATATTATCAAAATTACTTTCACCTGTTTACTTTTACTTTTTGAATGTGTCTACTAGAGAATTTAGAATTGCTCCTGGCTGCGTGTCACATCTCTATTGGTTGGCAGCTCAGCAGTGTCAAGACCAGGCTTAGTAAGCCAGGCTCAATCTCCAGGCCCTAGACTGCCTGGACAGAGAAGAAGCTGGTAAAAGGTGTGTTTATTGAATAATATTGAGCCGTGAAAGACGAACACAGAGACCTTTTCCCAAAAGGTTAGTTTCCTTATGTTTGGCAAAAAGTTCAGAACAGGGTGTCCCAGGAGTCTCTGAAATCACACCCTGCCCTGAGGACTCCCACACCTTGACCAAGTGCTCAGAGATGCCCCTAACCTTGGACAAGTCCAGGAGGCCAAGATGTCTCTTTTACCCTTTTCTGTGGAAACAGTGAAGAGGTCATGTTGCTTTCACTGTGACCTCTCTGGAGACAGAGTGACACTAGCTTGGGAACACTGGGGAGGGGAGGAGGACTGGGGGAGTGGTGGGAGTGAGGGCAGGAGCAGGAAGGAAGGGAGATGGAGGAGGAAGAGGAGGAGCCAGCCAGGTGGCAGGTGGGGGGGGGGGCGCCCTAGCAGGGTAAAAGCGCTGCAGCCTGCAGGAGGGGGCTGAGGTCTCAGGATCATACGTCGGCTCCTCTGCAGCTCTGGCTCCTCGCTGTGCATTTGAGCAGACCATGGCCGGGCCCCTGCGTGCCCCACTGCTCCTGCTGGCTATCCTGGCCATGACCCTGGCCATGACCCTGGCAAAGTCTGTGGCAAAGAACTCCAACCGGCTGGGTGGCATGGAGGAGGCAGATGTCAATGATGACGAAGTGCAGCGGGCACTGGACTTTGCCACTAGCAAATACAACGAGGAGAGCAATGACACATACTACAGTCAAGTGCGACAGGTGGTGCGTGCCCGCCAGCAGGTGAGTGCTGCCCCCTCCCCATGGGATCCAGAGTCCTGGCTGGGTTTGCCCCACAGAAAGCATTACCAGCAAATCAGCACTGACACATTCAATTATCTCATGCTCAGGCTTATTCAGATTTCCTTGCCTGTCCCTCTCATGGCCTTTATACCCAAGGACATGCCCAGGCTCTCATCCTAGTCCCTGCCCTGTCTCCTCAGACTCTTCTAACCTGCAGCCAGCATCATGTTTCAGCAGCGGGTCTATTTCCTGTCCTTGGCATTTTCCTAGGGTCCAGCCACTTGTGGTATAGAGACGGTTGCTAAACCTACTGTCCCCTCAAGGCTAGATTCAGGCCATAATGTGCGCACAGAGGAGGCATGTCCTCCTCCCTGAGTGCCTCAGCAGGTACCACCCAAGGATCCTGGCCTCCTGGTCCTGAAGTTACACGCTTCCCTCCAAATGTCATGGCCTTGGGAGCAGCCCCCAGGGTGAGCATCCTTCACTCTGAGCCCGGCAGACCACCACCCACAGCCACGGGCAGCTGAGCACCTGCTGGGGTGCAGAGGACCACGCCCGAACCCCGCCTCTGCCAGCCGCAGTCTGGTGCAGCTAGACTCTGGCAGAGGGGGAGGCAGTCAGTGTGGAGAAGGGGTTGGGAGGGGGCGTCAGGAAGGGCTGCTGGGGCCGAGCTTGCCCTGCGCCCATTGTACAGCTTCCCAGAGCGACAGAGCAGCACAGGGTGGCATGGCAAGCCAGCGTGTAGAGCTCCTCCCACCTGCTTTCAAAATTCAGGGAGTCCAGGCAGCCCCTCTTCTCCTCCTGCACCCTCAGCCACTGTCCTCTCCCTGGAACCTCAGGTACACCCCCTGGTGCTGTGGTCTCTGCTGGCCTGTGCCTCTCCAGGGTGGCTCTAATTTTGAGTGATGCACAAGACCCTATAGATCATTGGTCCTGGGAGCCCATTTGACAGATGGGCAGACTGATACTGGAGTAATCACGGATCCACAGGGCAAGGTCTAGCGCCCTGATCCCAGAGTGCCTCATCCCTGCTGCTCCACAGTTCTGACATGCAGTGTCTGGGGGAGGCCCTGTGCAGAGAGGGGGGTCAGTTCTATTGTGTAATTAAAATGCAAGACATGCAGGTGTATGATGCACTTGAGAAATGTTGCCAGCAAATCACACTAAAAAACAGAGGCAATTGAGAGCAGTCTATGGGTCTCCCTCCGTGTGTGAAGCATCTCATTTCCAACTGACAAACGAGAGAGGGAATATATAAATCTGGGGAAAACAGAGCGAGTGGGATTCTGCTGGGCTGTGTGCTGGTGGCGGGAAGTCAGCTGAGACTGATTTGTAGGAAGACAGCCCTCCTAGAATGGATCAGCGCTCCCTGTCCCTGGGCCACAGTTGCAGGATGTGATGAATCCTTGCTGCTACACAGAGCTTTCACTTGTGCTTAGGCCATGCCTGTGCTTCTGGTGCAGGGACTGGGTATTGGTCCCACTCGGGCTGGCTGCCCAGACCTGTGCCTGCCATTCCTGAATGCAGTGAGGGGTTAGTCCCTGGCTGCCACCTTCCACTTGTCTGCTGCGTGTGACACCTTGGTGGAGTTGTTCAGAGAAAGTGAATTGCAAGGGAACACCTGGGGTATAGCACCCCTGCCAGCTGGAGGGAGCCGGTGGTTTATATGGCCTGCAGGTGACAGTGAGGCAGCTCACAAATGCAAACATGAAGCCTCTGGGCACGGGCAGTAACTCAGCAACAGCGAACTACCTGTGTGCATGTGAAATTGACGGCAGTGCTGTAGGTGAATCTTGCTCTTGAACATGTGTAGGCCGTGGCTGGGACGAACTACTTCTTTTATGTGAAGATGGGCCGGACCACGTGTACCAAGTCTCAGCCCAACTTGGACAACTGTCCCTTCCAGGAGCAGCCGAGGCAGAAGAGGGTATGTGCCTGATGGGGGTCAGGGGCCAGTAATGCACTGCAGAAGGGGATGTGTGTGTTCCTGTGATCCCGCACATGTTCAGGAGGGTGTGTGTGTACACATGGAGGTGTGTGTGCGTGAGTGTCTGCATGCATAGGGAGTGTGGGGGGACATGCATGCATGTCCATGTGCACTGTTGAGGTGTGGGGAGGTGTATAGGAGTGTGTGTGGAGGGAGTGTGGGAGTTCATGTATAAAAGCCTGGGTGTGAGGGGTGCATGTGAGTTACATAGATGCATTCCTGTGTGCATATGGGGAGGATGGGGGTGTGTATGCACATGGCTAATTTGAATTGCAAAGAGGGCTTTAGCTTGGGAATGGAGTACTGAAAGGACAACCCTGCCTGTTCTGGAGTGTTACCTGCAGTGCTGGAGGAACCAGCGTCAGAGCTGGGTGCTGGGGAGAGAGAAGGGCTTTGTTCAGTGCCAGCCTCGGCCACCTGCCCACAGGCACGGCCACGCTGAGCAGATTAGAGGGAATCAGAAGTCTGTAAGTGGCCCAAGCCCTCAAGGCTGCCCCTGCTCACCCAACACCAGCCGCTCCAAGGACTTGGCTGTTTCTTGTGAGGGCTCTGCCCCGAGGAGAACCACACTCCCCCAGTCTCCCCCTCCCCTCTCCATATCCCAGGCTCTTTGGGGGGAGTTTCCCCTTTCCTGGGGTCCTCTCCCTGGACGTGAAGGATCCAAGGGTTGGAGGTGGAGGGAGCTTGGTGACAGCAAACCATCTCTCCCACCTGCACCCTCTGGGCGCCAGTGGCCTTGCACAGGTTGCTCCTTCCAGGGCGGCGCTGGGGCAGGATGGTGAAGTCCTGTGGGCCCAGGAGGGGACACAGTGCCAGCTGGTGCTGTTGGAGCCCTTGAGGACCAAGGAGCGGTCACTGCACAGTCAGGTTGCATGTCCTGGGACTCAGCTAGGTTGGGTGGAGGCCGAGTGTCTCACCCCGAAGCTTCCTCGGCCCTACCCTGGCATCCCATGGCTGGGCATCTTCCCTTGTAACTGTGACCTGCACTGATTATCCCTCTCTCTTCCCTTTCACAGGAAGAGCTCTGCTCCTTTGAGATCTACAGTGTGCCCTGGGAAGATTCGATGACCTTGGTGAAATCCAGCTGTCGGAAGGCCTAGGAGTCTGTGCCAGGCTGGGCTGCACCCCCCCATCTTCCCCACATCTCTCACCTTCCTGTAGTGTTCCCTACCCTTGGATGGAGGCGCCGCCCTGGTGCAGGTCTCCTCCCCGCACCAGCACCGGGAGGGAGGCAAATAGAGAAGGCTTCAGGAGGCCTTTGTTGACCAGCCAACTGGCTCTACCTGTTCCTTTCCCCCTACTGCTTCTCAGACTCGCTGGTACACCACACTCTGCTCCTTTAATAAAAGAGTAGCATTGGCTCCGTCTTGAGTTTTTCCTATCTTGGGGATGTGCACATGAGGAGGGTTTTGGGCCCAGCGTGGTGGCTCAGCCTGTAACCCCAGTGCTTTGGGAGACTGAGGTGGGAGGATCACTTGAGCCAAACTGATTGGGGTTACAGTGATCTGTGATCCTGTCACTGGTCCCCATCCAGCCAGGGTGACACAGCGAGATCCTATCTCAAAAGAAAAGGAAAAAAAAAAAAAAACAAAGGGTTTGAGCAGCCCCTTTGTGAAGGGCTCCTTGTCCTGCTGGGTCTAGACAGCAAATCTGCACCTGAGAGCTGAGAAGCCCATCAGGGGACTGAGCGGCCACTTCGGGCACATCTGAGTCTCAGAGCAGAGACAAGAGCTTGAGGGGTGGAGCCCGGGTGCTCAGCTACAGCGGCTCCTGGTGAAGGGCCCGTGGAGCAGGTGCCGGCTGCTGGCCCTGTCCCTGCACTGCTGCCTTAATGAACGCCAGGCAGGGGGGAGGCCTCAGCGGGGCCAGCCAGGCAGTAGATGCCACCCACGTCTGCAGAGTTGGTCACACTCCAGGGACTGACTTTCTCCCATCAAATTCCCTAGATACTAATAAATAGTGATTTATGTCCACTGCATTCCCCCAAATTATTTAGGTCCCTACATGAAAATAAAGACTAAAAGTGTCTGTGTGTCTCTGTGTCTGTGTCACTGGTTGGGGAAAACACCAACCAGAACTAAAGATGGGAGAAATCCTAGAGTGAAGGCCGAACCTGCCCTGGTCCATCCCGGGAGTCATGCCCTACACTGGGAGGTCGTACCCTGCACTGGGAGGTCATGCCCTATGCTGGGAGGTCGTGCCCTATGCTGGGAGGTCGTGCCCTAGAAGGTTTTACAGTTTCACCCACCAGCCCTATGGCTGGACTTTGCTTGAAAGCAAATAGTGAAAGTAAGTCCTCACATCAAGCTTCACCTTAGGGATGGAGAAGTTAAGACACAAATGGGACTGACATGCCGTAGGCTCTTCTTTTTCCAAGAAGTACACTTTAGTTCACAAAGACCACCACCTGGGAGTCAGCATAAGCCTTGGAACAGTGGATATTTACCTGCCCTGAACAGGAGGTGACAGTCCTTAGAGGCACACAGGGCCCACCCCACAGTGTCCTTCCATTGGCTGTTTCAGAACAGCGGGGTGCAGCCCTCAGGGCTGGCTGGGGCAGGTTTGCAAATACCTTCCATGCTAACAGTCACAGAGACCAGGTGTCTTGTGGGCACTGCTGTGAACACTGAAGGGAAATGACAAGGGGAGTCCACCAAACAGCCCCAGGCCGGCCCCTCACCTGCTGCGCCAGCAAGGCCGGCCCTGGGAAGGCCAGGGAGTGCGAAGGGAACACACGCTTCCACGCCGTGCCCACCTTGCATGCAGAGCCTCAGCCCTGCCTTTAGTAACAAGTCTCTGGGGGAGGGAAGAGAAGCACCGCCCAGAGGCCTGAGCAGGGGAGGTCTGAGTCTGGGTGTGACCCTGCCCAGGTATGGGGTGTAGGGGGCCTCATGGACTTAGTGATCCAGGCTACTGTGGGGAGGAGGGGGCCCAGGCAGAGCAGCAGGTGCTGAGAAGCCCAGGGGAGGGGGTCAGGAGTGAAGGCCCCCTGCAGGGAGCTGCTCCAGGTTTGCCTCAGTTTGACACAAGCAACTACCATCCACACACAGTGATTTCCTCTCACTTGTCCCTTTACTGATAAAACTCTCCATATTTGGGCAAGTGGGGATGGGCTGGGGGCTGTGCACAAGGCTCCCCCACCTTCTCCCTGAGTGTCTGCGCCCCAGGTGGGCAGCAGTGGGGGAGCCCGAGGGTGAGCAGGTTCATCTCCTGGACCAAGCCAAGGGCACTGGCTGTGTCCTGAAGCTATGGGGGATGTGGAGTCGTGTAAAGGAAGATCTTGAGCCGGTCAAGTTTTGGAAATATTACACCCCTTTAAGAGTTCCTTTAGCAAAAATAATGTCATAAGTCATTGGCAAAAGATTGAACCTGCAGAGGTTAGAAACCTTCTCACCTCAACACAGATGAATCAGTGGCAGAGGAGAGATGAGTCAAGGGAGGAGGAAGAAGTCAGCCAGTGTGGTCTTTCCAGGGCGGGTGACACTCACCCAAGGACTCCAGGTGGACCAAGGTGCTGTGGGGCCTGAAGCTTATAAGGTTTAGGGGACTCTCTAGATGAAAACTAGCAGTATTAGTATTACTACTCACAGTATTAGCAACACAAAACTAAGCACAGAAGTTATTGTCTATTTAGGAAAAGAAAATAAATCACAGACAATTACACATTATAAAATGCTGATAAACACCATAACCATCACAAAATCCAGAAAAATAATATTTATTGCAGCACAATTAGGCTACCTCAACTAAATCTGTTGCTAACAGATTCTGGTTCACTGGTTTATTGCAGTAAGGGAATGCTCACACAATGGGACCAGGAGCAACTCACAAAGGGAAGAGGGTCATTATAGGACTGGAGAAGAGACTCTGAAGCGGTATTTTGCTGGATTCAGAGCACCCCAGGACTGTGTGTAAACGAGCCAGTGTCCGTTCTGGACACACAATTGTGCTTAGCTTTGTTTTGGTGATACTGTGCTATATTTCATCCAGAATTGAGGTAGCCTGGTTGTGCTGGAACAAATGTTATTTCTCTGCAACTAACAAATGAACTTTAAAATGCATGAGGTAAAAGATGATCAATGTATTCTTAGTTATAAGAGACTTAAATACTCCTCATTTAATAAATTACAGAGCAAGTAGACAGAAAACCAGTAAAGAAAGAGTTTATTTGAATAACAAGATAAAAAATTTTGACCTAATTAACATGTCTAGTACACTTTACACAACAAGTGAAATATATTATTGTCACGTTAACATAGAGTAATTATCATTAAGGTAGATGATATTTTGAGCCCTTAAGCAAAGAGTAACGAATTTAAAGGAATAACAGCCATGCAAAGTGCATTCATGGAGCCTGGCGGAATTAAACTATTAATCATAACCAATATATCTGGAAAATTCTCAAATTATGGAAAGGCACTGGCATACTTGTAAATAACCAGTGGGTCAGAGAGAAAGTGTCAAGTTAAATTAAAAATTATTTTAAACATAATCATGGTCTTAAAATGTAGCAGCATAAAGATATTAAAATGGTATTTTTAGCACTGTAAGTCTCCATTATTAATATTGGTTTATATCTATTGAAAATTTTTGAACTTTTGGGCATCTATGCTGTATAAAGTGTGAGGTTTTTATCCAGCTTCTTTTTCTAGTTGGATTTCCACTTACTGCAACTCTTTTGTTGTATAAATGGACAGATGCTCCTTTAATTTCAGAGGAGATCATGGTTGGCACAGTGATTATTTGAAAACTGAATCATCAGTGTAGGCCCTTCTCATTCTGTCCCAGGTCCGCAGTCAGAATGCCTGCTCTAAATGCCTGAGTCTACATTAAGGCTGTGGTCAGCCAGGTCGTGCTTATTTTTTTTCTGCCTGCATTGTATTTACTTATGTACTGAATATTTCACACTTCTTTTAGGATAAGATTTCTGAGTCCAAAACTAAAGACATGCTGATGACTAAGCATTATAAAAGAAGACCTCAAAATTCAGATAGACCCTTACAAAGTTTTCCATGATAAAATGAATCAATTTTATAATTGGTATAAAATCTAAGTTTACACAGATGGAACGGGGTTGCCATTAGGTAGTTCTGTGATTAATTTTTACTGAGTATTAAAGAGCTTATATAGGAATGCCATTTCATTGTCCAGTAGTTTTGAATACGGAGACATGCTTTTATGTACAGCCTTAAAAATACTAATAACTAATAAGGGGTTATTTATAACTTCTTTGATTATCTTGAGACCCTAAGTGTGTTTTTCTCAATAGATCTTACATTCTTCTACGTGGAGAATTCTCCTGCTACTGCAGTTGGGCAGAGACTATAATAGTTCATTTGAGTAGTGGATGTTTAATCTCTTCCTTTATTCCTGCAATTTAAAGTTGTTATTATATCTATTATTTGATCAAATGTATTTTATTCTTCTTTTAGTATATGGGTATCTTTGAATGTTTTAAAATGTGCTCTTGTGATATAATCCTTGTAGAATAAGGTTGTTTGGGTCTGACTTCTTTTGCCCAACATGGTTGTGTGATTCATCCATGTTATTTGAATTTGCACTTGTTTTTATCCTTGATGCATAGCAATTTACTATACAAATGCCACAATATTCATTCTACTTTAAGTGGACATTTGGGTTGTTTCTAGGTTTTGGCTCAAAGAGTAGCTGTTGTGAATGTTCTTGTATACATTTCTCGGTGAACGTATGTACACATTTCTCCTAGGCTGAGGAGTGGCAAAGATTTGTTTTTAAACATTAACTTGATAAAAATGTTAGGAAATTTTTAATGATTTAATCAGAATAACAGTCAAAGACTATTCCAAGCCCAACCAAAGAAAAAAAAAACTTTGCTTTTTAATAATTATGGTATTTCATGTAAATGTTTCTAGTAAACTTTCTAGAAAAACAAGGTGTAATCATGATTTTAATTTCATATTTTCAGAATGTTCTTTGGCCTAAAGATGTGTTTCATGTTTCAGTCTGCTCCTTTCCAGGTAGTTTCTTTTTAAAGAAAAAGCCAGAAATAAAGTGGTTGATGGTTTGTTTTGGAAAAGTGAAACAAAACTCTAGGTTCTCAACATTAAATTGTGTCTTTTGCAAAATCAATTAGGTTAATGAGTATTGCTTAGATTGGTTCTGGTACAAACAGAGAATTATAACATTTCTATAACGTTCTGGGTTAGGGGGACCAAGTTGCTTGAAGTTGTAGTTCTCTGGCCACCCCAGTACCCTCAGATGATTAGTATCTTAGGCAAACCTATAATAGATTGATGGGATGCTCTTGTGGTGGCTCACAAGTTCAGAGAACTCTGGTTTAGAGCACCATA